GGTCTGGTGGGAACGAATGGTTGGGAAATAAAAAATAAATTAAACTTTCACCATACTATAAAATCAAAGGGCAATCTATTATTGCTACTCAACATATAGCACACCAACCGTAGTTCTCTCTGAGCATGTTTCCAGATATTCGGAGGCATGCCTGCGCTCTGCATCTTTCTTTCAAGAGCTGCAATGTCATCCTCATCATCATCATTGTCACCGAGTTCCTCCTTGATGGCCCTCATCTAAAAAAGTAATACAATGTAATTTGTAAGGCTTTGAGAGAATAGGGACCATAATATCAAAGAACAGATAAATAAGAAAAAGAAATATGCAATGAAACTTCAAAATTAGATGGCTCAAAATTCAAAGCAAGGCCTAAAAGCATGTGCAAGGTAACAAACAATGCTCGAGTGAACGGCTAAGCAAGCCCGTCATGTTTTTTTCTTTAACTGAAAAAAAAAACTCATTTTCAACCAAAAAAGGAAAATTTTCATTTATTTTCTATTCCTTTTTTTTTTCTTTTCTCCTCGTTTGAGATTGTGTTAGGCACTCTCCAAGCAATATGACTCTATCACCTATAAAATAATTTGAAGAACAACGAATATTTTTAAGAGTATTAAGTGATTACCATCAAATTAAGTAAGAAAAAAATACAAACATTCAAGTTCCACTATATTAGAAGTTCAAAATTCTTAGTAAAGAGAAAATCTAAGACAAGTATTAAGTTTATAGAACAAATATTTTGGGGGTTATCTAATATTTTCTACTATAGCTTCTATCTTTCATACAAATATGTTCCCTTCACCAACATTGGTTTTACTGCCCGCCATCTCATCCTCCTTACACTCAGCTTCTTGATCCTTCAGATTTATTACTCTAAAATTTAGCACACATACCTATATTTGATTTAACTTATTTCCTATGTATCATTAATACTTTTTAAAGTCATTGATAATCCTCGCATTAGATCACGTCAAATTGTGCACAAAAAACTAAGATCTTCAGTAAAGGCAAGAAGATTGGCTACCTATGCATGCAAAGTTGTATATCAGTTTCTAACAGTTAAATTGGTGGTTTTTTTATGTGATATGAATACTTGGGTGGCATGAATGTAAAATGTAAAATTTAGATATTAGATATTTAAATACATAGGAATTGGTTGCTATGTAAGTGAATTCCCCTAAATAAATTAGGAAACACTCAATGTAAAAAAAGTGGATATTAAATTATAGAATGCTTCAAGAGTCTTTATATTAAGTTCAGATTGACTTAATAAAAATTTAGAAAAAGTATAATATATAATGAATGGCAAACCTGCTGACGCAAGAGAAATTCTTTCTGTGATTTCGATAACTGCCCCTCCACTTTTTGAGTTATTTTCTCTGCCACCCGAATAGACTGCTCCAAAGTATAAAGAACTTAATAAATAGTGTGCCTTTAGATGCATGCCAAATAAAATATAAATAACTAAGGGGCTCTTTTCAATCAATTTTTGTTTTTCAAACAAAGAACATAAAACTAACAGAAAAACTGTGTTTGTTTATTCATTTTTGTTCCATTTTTTTATTTTGTATTTAAACAACCCACGGTTGTTTTTAAAACTTTGAAAAACATGGAAAACAAGTTCTATCTGTTTCAAAAACAAGTTTTTTGCACTGCCCCAACTGAGCCGCTCCGCTCCATCTTCAATTTCTTTTTGCTCTGGCGATCCCTTGTCCCTCATGTGGCTTCTCTTTTGCCGCCTCCTTCGGCCGCCGATCTCCTTGTTCCCTTCCATCGCCGGATTGCAACATCCAGTTTCCTCTTTGGCCGCCGATTTCATCGTTCACTTCCCTCACCCGACTGCAACATTCGGGTTCTCGTTTGATCACTGATGTCCTGCTTCCCTTCGAGTTGCCCTGCCCCGCCCAATCCTATGGCGAGCATCCCACCCCAGCTGCAGCTCAGCTTTTCTGGTGAGCCTTGTTTTTTTTTTCCTGGTTTAGTAAATTTTATTAATTGCTTCTTTTTTTTTTCTAGCGATCCCTCATTTTTTTCGGTAAACCCTCATTTTTCTTTTCTATTTTAGTTATTTGATTAATTGTTTTTTTTTTCTGGTGAGTCCTCGTTTTTTTTTTGGTTCAGCAAATTGTTATTGATTATTATGTAACATGAATAAAGATAAAAAAAAGTTAGATCTGCTTTAATTACATCCTTTTTAAGGATGAATCTATTAAATTCCTTTGTTTTGTAGCATATGTTTTCGTATTTGTTGTAACAATTGGGTCAGGAGAGCAGATGTAGGTGCAACTTTTTAAAGAATAACAAGATTTAGGAAATAAGTTGCATTTGAAGGTGTGGAGGAATTATTTGATTACTTCAATCTTGTTGAAGATTTTTTAGTATGTGCCAATGAATAAATAAAAGAAATTTTAACCCAAAAAAAGGGGAAGGGTTGCTTCTTGTATTTGATTTGGATGCTAAAAACTCTTTGTTGTAATTAGTAGGAGCACTTAGATCTACCATATAATTATTATTAAATATGTATTTATTGCTTGAAAATTAGTTATCGAATTTATGGAGATTAGATTAGGAATGTGACTTGAACATTTTAACTCAATCCAGCATTAGCTTGAGATTATCCAAACCATTTGGTTGTGTAATATGTAAATGAAATAGTTGCCTTCAAATGATGCTAGTTTTGTATGTAGCAATGCTTGAAGTGCGATCTATTCTATGTAATTGTTTCATGTGGTGCTAGCTTTGTAAGTAGCAATGTCTCTAGTGCTATCTATAAAATTATTTGGTATTTTCTATAGTTTCATATTACGGATTGTTTATACTTTGGTATTACCTATAGTCTGATATTAGGGATTGCCTATAGTTTGATTCCGTTAAATTGTTTTATCAATTTATTATCAAATTTAATCGAATTGAATTTTGACTATACTATTACAGAAAATGGATCATAGCGATACAGTTTAAATATGTGGAGATTCAGTATGGCCAGATAGGAATGAACAAATTTTCATTCAGCTTACGAAAATTGAAATCATTAATGGCAGCAGGAAAACAACCACTAGCAGTCCAGCTGCATGGTCATGCATTATGCAAGGTGGACTTATATATATATATGATTCTCTTCTCAATGCTTCAAACTAAATCATCAAAAAAAAAAAAAAAAAAAAAAAAAAAAAACAAGAACAACTGAAAAATAAGTTCAATGTCTTTAGATCTAAAATTGAAGAGGCTTTAAAAGAGAGACTTTTCAAACTTATTTAAAGAGACTAGAATTAATTATATTGCAACCATAGATCATGTGATTGCATCCAAAGATGTTTGATCCAAGTAATATAATATATTTATTTCATCTTATATTTATCTAAATTTATTTTTATTAGTTATAAAATTTAATAATTAGACTTGTGGTTTAACAATATGTAGGTCAATAAAAATGCAAGAACAGATCAAAAAAAAGGATGCCAAATGTACGAGTCTCTTTGTCTTATTTATAATGGCACAACTGCAGATGATAAACTGCAACATCCTTCAACAAAAATCGCTTCAGACATTGAGGAAGATGAAAAGATTGGAGAGAGTGAAACAAGGCCTACAGAGGAATCCATGGACAAGGAAAAGAATGATGATGCTGCACTTAAGCGCAAATTACTTGCAAAACAAGCTTATATGACAACTATTTCAAATATTATTACCTCTACAGTCCAAGTTTTAAGTGAGTTCGAAAAGAATGGACAATATGATCGAAAAGAGCCTGTACACGTCAACTTGATCTTCAACCGAAACAATTGAATCTCTATTGCTAAAATATATGAAATTTCTCAATTCAATAGAAAATCCACATGACGTTAGCTACTCAAAAGCTTTACAGAAGTTTTAAAAAGATGTAATATGACTAAAAATATTTTTGTTCGTATGCCTGATGGCAGAAGAAAATGCAAAACCGTGGATGTTTATGAAAAAAAAAAAAAGGTGATTTGTATGTAAATGACCCTTATGTTTAAAAATTTTATAAAAGCTAGAATTTTTTATCTTCTTTTAATGGAAAAAATGTAATCAAATATGTTTTTTGTTTTTCAAAACAGAAAAATAATAACAGAATCAGAAGTGTTTTCTAAAAACATAAAACAAAATAAAAAAAAAAAAACATACTAAAAACAAAAATAAAAAAACAATGAACGCAAAATGATTCCAAACAGACCCAACTTGTTTAGGTTTGATTTTTTTAATGTGCTTGCTAGTGTGTTTTTTTACATTTTTTTTGGGCATTTACATATATAGCACACAATTCTTATGTATTTACATAGCTCACGCTTAAATCTTCATATTTACACACATGACACTAAAATCTTTAATATCACATCAAAAATAGCACTATTACCACTTTTTAAAAATAAAATATGCTTTTTCATGAATAGTTTTATAATACCAACGTGCTATGTATGTAAATATTAAACTGAAGGTGTGAGATAATTATATACATAAGTGCTTTGTATGTAAATTTCCCTTTTACTTTTTTTTTGTTTCTAAAAACAAATTAACATGTTTTTTAGAAAAACCAAAATAATTTTAGATGTTTTCAGTATTTTTAAAACAATCATACTTTAATCAAATGTACCAAACAAATTGTATTTCAAATCAAAATATAATAAAAATAAAATAAAAACAAAAAAATAAAAATAAAAAACAAAAGTGATCCGAAACAGCCCCTAAGCAACAAATTTTATAACACTACAATATGTTTACCATATCATATCGTATCTCATTACTAATTTTACACAGAGGACACAATTATCAAGTAGTACAAAACTAAGAATAAATACATAGAAAGGCCAATAAATGTTAGAAAACCAAGTTAAGCAATTATAACCTGCAAATGACGATCAACTAATTCTGTTGCCTTTGATAGTCTAACTTTTAGGTCAACAGAATCCAGCATAGATAGCTGCTCTTCAAATCCTATTTCAAAGCTAGCTACAAATATATCTGCCAGTCTGTGAACAGGTACTGTATCAAGAAGGACTTTTGTCCTGCCCGCAATTTTTTGCTTCTGCAAGATCCAATTGGAAAAAAAAAAAATAAGCCAGAGCGAGAATGCTGATGAACAAGCATCAAAAAGAAAAGGAAGATTTACATACACCACACAATTCTTATGCATTTACATATCTAACACCTAAAATTTGATATTTACATTTATAACACCTTGGTATGAAAAGCTATGCATGAAAGGGTGCAACACCCTTAAATGGTTAATCATAGAAGCATTTTTTTATGTGATGTCAAAGATTTGAGTGCTCTGTATGCAAAAAGTAAAGTTTAGGTCTTAGATATGCAAATAAATAAAGATTGCGTGGCATATATGTAAATGCCACAATTGAAAGAAAATATATAGAGAAACTAGAAAAAAATATAGTTGCATAAATGAATAAAGAATTCTTTGAAACAAGCGCACCAAAGGACACATCAGAACCAAAATTTTCAGCAAGTGAAACAAAACATGAGGTGCTCTTTTTTTTGTGTGTGTGTGTGGGTGGGGGGGGGGGGGGGGTGGCTGAAGAGAAAAAACAAAAGAAGCAAAAAAGAAACACGTATTTCGATTAATTGAAGCACTTAATTCACAAGAGAAATTATAAAGTATCTTACTTCTTAATAATCTCGAAGAAATGATCAATAAAATTTAATTAAACATTACGATGGATATCATTATAAAATTATCTAACCAAAACAACATAAATACAAATAACAAAATTTGCCTGAAAATTTTTAGGCAACTTTAAAGAGTATCTCAAGAACATGTCACAAAAATGGCACTACAGCACGAGGCAAAGGGCATGAAGCACCGCAGAGAAACACCCAGACGACAAAAGAAGTAAAGCCATGCACAATGAATGCAAACTCAAGTTGACAAAGAATTGCGAAATAAAAATTTTAAAAAATTGAACGATTTGAAAGTTGAAGGAGAAAATAAGTAGAGATTAACAATGGTGATATGAAAGATTTTACCCTAAAAATTGGAAAAAGAAAAAGGCAAAAAATGTGGGTAGACAACATCCAAAATGATGACTCCTCACGTGATTATGTCGACGTGCAAATAGAAGAATTAGAAAACTTGCTGCAATGTCAAGAGACTGAAGAAATAAAGAGGACTCAACCATAGAAGAAGAATTGCAAGAAGACTTTGAGACAAAGAATTGTTTCAAGGCCAGAAGTTGAAATTTGAAGTGTAATCCTGAGACGGATACAAATTGTAAAACATTTTGTTCATGAAGTGGCGATTAAAAAACCGTAATTTGCATTTAAACTTCAAATGAAATGTTATTCGGCACGATAAAGAATGGAACACCGCAACATGTGCATTCTCCACTTTGCGGTTGAACGATACTCCAAAAGTGTGCTTTTTAACAACACCGATTACCCCTAAAATCCTTAAATATCAGTTGTCTCAATAAATTTGCAACTAATTCTAATGTTTTATCGTCAGAAGAAGGCAAGTATATGTATTATGCAAAACTATGATGATATAAATAAAGCACAACATCCTATATATGATCAAGTTATCACACAATTAACTTTCTTTGAATTTATTTGAGTTGTAAAAGACATTATAAAAAGACTGAGATGAAAGAAAACTATAATATTTAAAAATATGAACATTCACCTGTTCAAGAACTGAAATGAGTTCCATGGCAGTCGCCTTGAATTGGCGAGATAGCAATATAACGTCTGGGTCTTGTTCAGCTAACTCCAGCTCTAGAACAGAAGGAAATAAGCATTAATTTGGTGGCATTTATGTAGAAGACCATGAATAGCCTACAAAAACATCCCATTATTGTTCAAAGATATTGTAAGACCTCATATAACTCGTTAATTTAATCATGAATAATAAATAGGTTAATTAAGTTTAATTAAAAAGCTAATCAGATCTATTATTTTTAAATAATATTGGGAAATTAATAATATTTATGCTTAATTATTTTAATGAGTTCCGTGATAGAGAATTTGTTTGGATCCTTTAAATCAGTAAGTGTAAAGGCAACTTTACTTCATTTGGATAATAAGAGAGATGGTGAAAAAATAAAAAAGACGAATCAATACCACACATTTTCATAGTGGGAACTGCTTTCTTTTTGGCCGGTGGGAAGCATCACTCTCGTCGTGGAGAGTGTATGCGGAAATGTAGTTCTATGAGGAACAACGTACAAATCGCACCCTCATGAGCTGCTCTGATTTGGTATATTAATGAATGAATGAAAGAATGGATGGACGATTGAATGTTTAGTCCCATAAATTATAGTAAATCCTGTGTTGGATGTCCCTTGCTAAATCAAAATGCATGGCTAAGCAAAATGAAAGATCAAGAAATAAAAGAAACATGCAATGCAATAATATGAAAGGTAAGAGATATCATGCAACGATTCCCAAGCCATGCCTTATTTTACCAATTAAATTACCCCCTCAATGAGATAGATGCTTCTTTAACGGCCAACCTGAATTGTATATCATATTTATAAAAAGGTTGAATTGAGATAAGATGCATTCATGCTTATAAATTCTTACAAATGTTTACCATGCTTTACATATAGATTGTTTACCCTATACTCCGTGGTAAATAATATATGAAAGACATGGTTTGTGCTATTGGATCACACCTATACAATGAGTAACCACTTGGATTTCGTCACTTTATTATAAGTTTGATAGATAATTGTAGATATTAACTTCTTTCGAATACAAGAATCATTATACAAGGATAAATGTGATATAAATGAATATAAATTGTTAACATCATGATCATTTAGCATAGTTAGAAGGTGGGTGACAAGTTGGTAAGAGAGCATTAGTTGCATCTTCTCGAAAAAAACCTAATAAAGAGGGTCTAAGTTGGTCTATAAAATGTGATTTAAAGTTAAGGATAACAAGTGATAATTTGAAGTGGACAAATAGTAGGGATTTCCTTCAAGGTTTAGTTATGGAAATAAAGTGAAAGATCTAAACTCGTTAATTACATCTAGGCTTGCTATGTTTCATTTGTTTTGGTTATAAGGAGAGCAAATTCATGGGGTAAAAATAGGAGAGGTTTGCTTACATAATCCAAAACTAAAAACATTAAGTAACTTACCAAACATGACTCTATCATTATGAACTTTACCATTTTTTCTACATGAGTTATTAGATAATGTATGTGTAAGATTAATATATGGTAGACTTGTTAAAGATGTTAATAAACATCTACCATACCAATAATAATGTGGACAACTTTGAGCATTAGTTGAATCAAATTCCATCATTTTAGTGCCCTTAGCTTATAGGTCATGCAGCTGTATTGTTCGTAAATTCCCGGAATCTTGAGATTGGGTAAGACTTGTTGTTGTATAATATGTAACCTAGTGACATAAAGCTTTTCAGTTAAATTTATTGTATTTGAGATATGAAATGTGTAATTGGAACTGGTTTTAAAATTTATAACTTGCTAGTGGCCATTTATTTCAATTTAGTTGCTTTGGGTAAGTGCCTTGGTGGATAATTGTGCAAAATAATTGTTTTTGAAAAAAAAAAATTGCTTTGCATATATATGAGTTTAGATAAATATAAATAGTTAATGCCCTGAATGTTTAGGTATTCTACTACTAAAGTTTTTGGCAATAGTAATATTAGTTGTGATAGAGATTAATCATTTTCTACAAATTTAATATACCATCAAAAGATCATGCTAAGTGGAGCATTAAATTTTCTTAGATGAAAATTAAGCTCATAGTAATAAAGTAGCACATAAAAGTATGCATATCATTAATAGGCTGGCCACATTATATCCCTGAAATGTATTAGCCTGATTTCTAATTATAAAGAATTTTCAAACATTCATCATCTTTTTAAAGTTATCCACTCTTAATCTTTAAAATACATTAAAATTGAAGCAATAAAATATGGGTACAAAATCACGAAATACATTCGTACATTAACTAGGATTATAACGGAAAGGTAGGCCTACAAAGGCTATAGATATGCATCCAAATAAAATTAATCAAACTCTTACCGGGCTTTGTCATATCAAGCCGAGAAATTCGGGCAACAAAATAGGTTCCTCTTTCACTAATCTCTTGGACACTAAATCGACATAATCCCTCAAGCACCACAACATATGTTACTTTCCCGCTTGGTTTCTCTACTCCTCTAGAAAGATTTAGAGCTCTAGCAGCAACACCCCTGAATTGACATAACAAAAATTAATAAGAAATCTCCTAGCTTTGTAATGCTAAAAGCAAATGGGAATACCATTATGTATTTTCTAATGAACCCCATCACTTCAATTCTAGAGAAAATATAGATAATAACATCCACAACAATCCTTAAATGGAGAACGAGACTAACTCAATTGTTTTTTGGATAATAACATCCACAACAATCCTTAAATGGAGAACGAGACTAACTCATTTGTTTTTTCTTACATTTGTTGCATGATAACATTTTAATTTAGGTTATTTCAAACTTACCATTTTCTATGATTTACGAATCACTTGAAAATTTTAAATTCTAGCCAAAAGGTAATCATGCCATCTAAGAAAAAAAAAAAGAAAACTTGGTGCACTTTTTGTTATGTTCTCTTTTTCAACATAAAGAAGTAAAATACAGAGAAAATGCACTGGTAACCATACAGAAGTAGCTCTCTTATTAGTTTTTAATGATGAAGTTACTAAACTACATAATATCTTATTGATATACTCATATCCAGGGTATCCGTACTTTTTTTCATTCATGTTTTCCTCATCAGCTTAAGAATAGATAATCTCAGTCACAGATCGAAACTCTAACAAAAATATTTTTAATCGTTAAAAAATTCCTAGGGTAACTTCACGTTAAAAATCACTCTTTTCCCCATTATTTTTCTCAAATTCCCCCACTTTAAAAAAGATAAACTAAAGGTATTCAAATATTATGGTATGAATTAGTACAATGAAAAATCCAACCATTAATTTTGAGGCAGATCACATAATTTGGATAAAAATAGATTATCAAAATAATATTTTTAGCTCCAATATCGGAAATTATAAACCACGTACCTACGCAACAAATCGTTACCTGTTATACCAGCGTATAGGCTCCTCCTGGCTTTTCGAACCCTGATTCTGAGAATCGCCGAATACATCAGCCGAAGTCTTCACGATCCGTTCTCCATTATCACTCCCCGATCCTTCATTGAAAATAATTATTTTCCAAAACCTCCATCCACAATCACAAATCACAAAACTATAAACATAATCAAGCCCATGAGGATCACCTGGCGATACCAAGGTACCAACCGCAGCCGCAGCTGCAGCTTCTGTGACCCTCACCGGAAGCACTCCAATCAAACCTTTATCCTCCCTCTGCCACAGCTCCTGCTCCACCAGCTTCACACTGGACCCCAAATTTTACTTTAAGAAAAAAAAAAAAAATCTTCTCTCCATTCGATGATTCCGATAACCCAATCGAATTGCATCAAAACCGATCAGAAACTTATCTTCTCTCCATTCGATGCTTCCGATACCCAATCGAATTGCATCAAAACCGATCAGAAACTTACCTTCTCGTCGAGGTGCAGCGGATGCGAATTACGGCGCCGGGTAAAAGAACCTTGTTTCTAAAGGGAAGAATCGCCAGACGGCTAGGAAGCTCAACCGTTTCAGCCATTTTCCCAGCTCCGAAGCCAAGAGATGAGGAGACTAGGGTTTCGAGGGATTTTTGAGGAGCAGAAATTGGGAGTAGATTTGCTTCCTTGGAATGGAACGAAATAATGGATCAGAGGCTGATACCTTTCTGTGGATGGTGTGTAATGAAGCCGTCATCAGCATTATATACATATTTTTTTTTAATTTCTTTTTTTTTTTTATTTTTTTTTTGCTTGTGAAAATGGCCTTCAAATTACCGTATTTATTTGAAAAAAAAAACGGAAAAATAATTTTAAAATTTCATCTTTTAAAGTTTCCAAGATCTCAAATGGGACATTTACATACAGGTCATCCAAGTGCTATATATTTACATATATAACTCTTAAATTTTATTATATATATATATGCTATACAAAAAAAATATGACACATGATTCTTGAGGAAATTCAATGGATCTTAGTAGGAAGAAACAAAAGGACTGCATTGAGATGACCGAAAGAGAGACTTTAAGCATCTTTTCCTTTGAACGAAACTATGGGCTGGCATAACGAAAGTATAGCTGAATGAAAGAACTTTATGCACCTAACCTAAGGGACAGTCGTTTGCAATCAACTCTCTCAACTTATTATGAGATTATTTACAAAATGGTCTTAAGGCATCCAATTGAATATCTTTCTAATCCTCTGTGATCGTCCTTTGTCCAAAGGAGACGTGTCCATCAGATTACAGTGATACTCCCTCTGTCAAATGGTCCCACTTCACCCTGACGACAAGGGGGCCTTTACTGAAGACTCAACTGAGAAGGTCGACCGAAGACCTTCCAGTCTACCGAAGGATTATCAGACGATCGTATGTCAGTATTAGCAGGTCATTAAATGTGACTCTTCAAATAGTTATGAATAAGAAACGGTGACACATTAGTTACGGGTATTAAAAGGCTCTAGAGACACTTACGAATATGAAAAGGTATAATTATGTAATAATTACTTATATTGTCCCTATTAAACAATAAAAAACAACGCTATTACATACATATATAAACTATAAATATGGGATAATTTCTTCAAGAAAAAAGTATTGAATCGTATTGTTGCCATGGTCTTTATGATACTTAAAAAATTTGTTGGTGTTCCAGAGAAAATTTGGTCTTTATGGTACTTAAAAAATTTGTTGGTGTTCCAGAGAAAATTCATATTGAATCGTATTGTTGTCATTGTTGACCTCACTTTTGGTTGAGGTCTAGCTTGGTCCTCATTGTGGATCCTTCTGGAAGTACTCACTGTCATGGATAGCTTCCACCAAATTTTCCATCAAAACCTTTAATTGAGTGACTTTTAGCATTCCTTGACCACCATTAGAACACCTCCATAAACTTTAGTCGGACTTTCTGTCTCCGCGAGACAACCGGCCCCATTCTCGCTTTGGGCGAGAGCCATCTTTCTCTCTTTACCCATCAGCTTGCAAACCTTTCTTGTTTCTACGTTGTTCAAACATCCCACTTTTTTGGATAGGCTTGTTGACATACTCCTCTACAATAATTTGAACGTTGGCCAACTATAAGAGTATGACCAAAGTGTCCAGTTTTCGTAAACCCTGGAAGTACTTAAACTACGCGATGCTCAACCTTTGTGCCCTGATAGTCATTGCAATTATTGGCTCCAGATTTCGTACATCCAACATCTTCTTTTGGAACCATGTAACATACACACCAAGGCTCTTGTTTTGCCCATGCTTTACATGCCACAAGGGTTTTGAATCATTACGAGACTTTTAAGCACTAATAATTTGCACTTTGAATAACCTCTTGAACTCTTTGAAGGAAGTAATAATTTCAATTAGGAGTCTGTTGAACAACTTCCCTCAGTGTGGTGTAAGATAATCGACACCTCAATACGTCATAAACTTTGAGAAGGAATATAGATGACTCTAATGACACAATGTGATCAGTAGGATCGCTCGAGTCATTATATGACTCCAAGATGAAACCTTGAACTTCTCAGAGGGCTTTTCATCAATGATCTGTCAAGAGAATGCATTCTCTAATCAACAGTGTACTTCCATTCACCTCGCTTGTAGTATGTTCCTCGGCATGGACCCATCACTTTCTTGGTACTGATATTCTTCCACCCATTTAGCTCTTTGAGTTATTTGAGGGCTTTAGTGTTCAAGTACCTCCGAATTTGGTTTAGGAATAGCTTGTGCTCTCCCCTCAAGCAGTACAATGGTCAGTTATGTAATCAAAACTGTCATTTGATCTTTGAGTTATTGAATTTGTTATTTCATGTGTTCTCTAATTGAACTCCATGCAGAAGCTTCCCCCAAGTGTATTCGTTCTTTGTATCGTGCTCCTCTTCTTGTTGAAGGCATGACTCTATGCTTACCAAATATTTTAGGATGTTGAATCCCAAAATTTTCTTTGGGTCACGCCCAAGGGATAGGGCATTGGACAAATGAGAGGAATAAATAGAAGTGAATTAAGAAAGAGAGAATGGGAGAATTAGAAGAGCACAGAATAGTATAAGTTCTCTCAGAACTGATTAAGTAGTGCTTTTTAAGGATACTACTCCCCTATTTATAAATCATAAGAAAAGACATATAAATTACATGTTTGTCCCTCATTAAATAAGAAAGTTACAAATGATTTATAATCCATTACGTATTTGTAACCGATGCTAATATTATTTGACCTTGGTGACTGCTATTGTTACTATTTCATTTTGGCAACTACTACTGATATCATTTCATATTTGTAATTGTTCAAATTGGTCTCCTGAACATCGATCGGCCAGCTAGATGTTCTTTGGTCCATTGGTGATTTTTCAATCGGCTTATAAAGGTAAATCTTAGTGAAGACCTTCGTATCCTTAAGAAAGGTTTATTCCATTTGACAAACTTTCTTCAGGCAAAAGATCTCCTAAAAAATAGATAAGTCTCGTCGGTTGACAATTGAACTTCTCTACGAGTGACCTAGGATTGGTTGAGTTATCGCGAGTTCAGGTGTCCAACATTCCTTGGTTCAAATGTACTTTCATTATGTTTGCCCAAGATATGACCGAGTAAGCGGTGGTAGATGATTCGGTCCTTCGAGCATGGTAATACAGTTCTTTGATAACCTCTTTATGTATTCGTTCGATTTTTTTTGAGATTTACGTATTTAGATTTTTTTATTTACAATATGCTTGAGTTTTTGCAAGGTTTTTAATTTAAATTCACTCATGATTAGAAGTAATTAGCTACATGTAAATATCCTTTTCTTTCTGTGTTGTTCTGTTGACTGCCATGAATTTAATTGGCACATGTCCTTTTCAACAAGAAATGCAATTGGTTGGTAGGTGGGCCCATCGGTTGCGAGATGTAGATAATTAAGAGACTACTTAATTTTTAGATGTGAATGGCCTCCTAAAAATTGGGCCCATTTGCGTAATTGTATCCCAATTCGGGCTATAATAAAGAGGTGGAGTAATGTCTTATTTAAATATATTAATGTTTATTTATTTAGTATAATTATAAAGTTTACATAAATACTACACAACTTTTATGTATTTACATATCAAATAACTAACATTTGATATTTACAATTATAATATTATGGTATTAAACACCTATACATGAAGACTTCTATTTTGTTTTTAGAAAGTGACAATTATATTTAGGATGCGATGTCAAAAAATTGAGAGGTATTTATCTTAATTCAAAATTTTAGGTATTAAATATTTATTGAATTTGACTACAAAGTATAACTAAGTACATATAAAATGCTTGATACAGGCTAACAGATTTGCAGTGTTAGAGTAATGAATTATTGTCTCAGAGTTGTACGAAAATTCAACAATAATGAATTATCGTCTCAGAGTTGTACGAAAATTCAACACACACGTAATGAATTATTGTCTCAGAGTTGTACGAAAATTCAACACACACTTAGGTTACTGAAGTAAAAGGTAGAGACAAAAAGTTTTACGTGGAATACCCGGAAAGGGATAAAACCATGAGGACCTAGCCTAATCAGAAAATAATCTTCTACAGCTTGATGAGTATAGATATATGTCGTTGGTCCACTGGCAAGAAAGGGTAACACAATTACAAGTTCGTATGTTGGAGCACTCATTACACAATGATCGAGAGAGGTTATAGTTGTCGGAAGAGGTTACAACTATGGATATGTAGTGTTTAGGATGATACACGGCTCCTTACAATGCATTGCAATGTTGGTATCTACTCCGCACAATGTTTTGTTAGTCAACAATATTGGTCGCTACTTCACACAGTGCTTCCTTGCTCTGCAATGTTGGTCGTTGTTTAGAAAGGTGCTTCATCACTCTGCACAGTACATTCTGCGAGGGACATCATTGTAACGAGCAAGGGGCGGCTTACGATGGTTGACATTGGTAACAACATAAAGCATTCGCTAAATCTTTGGTGTAGAAGCTATACCCTGGCTGCTTGTCATGATCTTTCTCCAAGCTTACTTCTTAGTCTTCTTTCATAAATGGGATAGGGAAGTGTTCGTCAGAGTTTTGGAGTAGAACACTAGACTCTAGCTCCTTCTTCTCATGATCCTTCTCCAAGCTCAGATCTCTTAGTCCACTTGGCGGCCAACAGTGGTAGCAGCGAGAAGTGTTCGTCGGATCTTTAGTGTAAAACACTTGACTCATGATCCTTCTCCTCATGATCCTTCTCCAAGCTTAGGTCTTAGTCCGCTTTCAAGAATAGGGTAGATAACTATTTATAAATTCTAGAAGAGGCCTCTCGACAAATAAAGAAAGAAACCTGACTACTCCATCAAATGACATAGATCAATCACCTTAATTGGACGGAGTTATGCAGATATTTTTAATGGAGTCAGAATTGAATGATCTCGGGTTCATTGGAGTCAACTCATCAAGATGCTCACTGAGGTTGTAAGTTTGTCATAATTAAGAACTGTTTTACCTTCCAATTGGGCACCAAAAGCTTTCAAAAATAGTTTAATGGCTTGATTTGGGCTTGATCTGATTTGGATTAGTTCAATGTTAATATTATTGAATTTGTCTTGTCGAGTCGATCAATTTGACTATAATTTTGCAAAAATCAGAGTTGTGGATGATTTTTAATTTAATTTTGAGCATTCCTTGCTGAAAATGTTACTTCAACATTCATGTGT